GTGTGAGGGCTGGGGAGGATGTGAAGACTGAAGAGAAGAGAGGTTCAGCTAAGGGGAAAGATGTGAATGAGAAGAGAGGTTCAACTTAGGGAGTTAGTGTTTTTTAAGTTTAGTCTATAGTTCGGGCCGGGCCGGGCTATTTTGGAAAATCCCAAGCCCGGCTCGAATTTATTGCGGGCTGGGCTTTTTGGCCTGAGGTTAAGCCCGCGGGCTCATTTGCGTGTTCAAGCCCGTCCGGGGGCCATGCCAGCCCATCGTGCCACTTGGCCCATGAACAGGTCTAGTTTGGTGTATGCATTAAAGTGTTTCATTCTAATAATTCCAAGGAATACATTCATAATAATTCAATCTTATTTTCACTCTCATGGTATTATACATCAGTCCTCATGTTCAAACACTCCTCAACAAAATGGTGTGGCTGAGAGGAAAAATCATCATGTGATTGAAACTGTTCGGGCCTTGTTGATTCAAATGTTAGTCCCTAAAATCTATTGAAGTGATACAGTTCCCACCTCTTGTTTTCTTATAAACCATATATCATCTTCAATCCTAGATGGTGAGTCACCTTTCTCTATCTTATTTCCTTCCACTTCGCCTTTCTCTTTTCCTCATCGTGTATCTGGTTGTGTGCTTTGTTCACAAATTGGGTTCAGGCCATGATAAACTTGACTCCAAAGCTATTAAGTGTATTTTCTTGGTTACTTTCGTATTCAAAAAGATTATAAGTGCTATGATCCTATTTTATGAAAAGATTTTGTTGCTCCATATGTTACCTTCTTTGAAAGTTTACCCTATTTCTCTAGATGTGAACCTTCTCCTTTTATTTCTCTTCCTTCTAGCTCTGGTGATGTCTTTATTCCCTTGCCTAATATGGAGGAGTCTATTTGAGCATCTATTAATAGAGTGTACTCTAGACGTGATAGACAATCAAAATTATCGCTAGTAGTTAATCTAGCTCCAACTTTTGACATGCCACCATAGTCTTTGCCATTGATAGATCCACCATCCTTAGATCTTGATCTTCCTATTGCTCTTTGTAAGGGTAAGTGTACTTGCACAGATCATCCCCTTTCTCGATATGTTTCCTTTGCTTAGTTGTTTCCTTCACATCAACGCTTCATTTCCCTTTTATCCTCTGTTTCTCTATTGTGTTCTATACAGGAAGCCCTCTCATCTCCTAACTAGAAGAAGGCGATGGATTAAGAATTTCATTCTCTTCAATCCAATAATACTTGGGATATCACTTCCTTACCACTTGGAAAACAGGTTGTTGGTTGTTGATGGGTTTATATAGTTAAACACCGTCAAGATGACAATATTGAGTAGTTCAAAGCTCGATTTGTTGCTAAGGGGTATACTCAGACCTATGGTATGGACTATTCAAAAACCTTATCTCTTGTGACTAAAATAGGTTTTGTTCAAGTGCTCATTTCTTTAGCTGCCAACTTTGATTGACCCTTATTTCAGCTTGATGTTAAAAATGATTTTCTCCATGGTGATCTTCAAGATGAGGTATATATGGAGCAACCCCGCTCAAGGAGAGTCAAGAAAGGTGTGTTGATTGAAGAAGGCTATATATGAACTGAAGCAATCACCGTGGGCATGATTCGGTCATTTTAGTAGTGTAGTGCAAGACTTTGGCTTGAAATAATGTAGTATTGATCACTTTGTGTTTAGTAAGGACTTGTCATCTAGGAAAATCATTCTAGTAGTGTATGTTAATGATATTGTTCTCATAAGCAATGATATACATGGAATTGATAAGTTGAAACAGTTCCTACAGCAACACTTTCAAATTAAAGATCTAGTTACCTTAAAGTATTTTCTTGGAATTGAGGTAGGTCGAAGTGGAGAATCTTTGTGTCCCAACGAAAGTATGTTTTGGACATGTTGGATGAAACTGGGTTGTTGGGATCCAAGCCAGTTGAAACTCCTATGGATCCCAATGTGAAGATCCTACAAAGTATCAGAGACTAGTAGGTAAGTTGATCTATCTTACATCACTAGGCTTGGCATCCCCTTTAATGTTGGAGTCCTTAGTCAATTCATGCAGAATCCAACAATTGCTCATTGGGATGGTGTTATGAGGGTGTTGAAGTATCTAAAGGGTGCTCTTGGTCGAGGGCTTTTGTATAAGAAAGGGGGAGATATTTCTCTGGTAGGGTACTCAAATATAGATTGGGCAGGGTCTCCAATGAATAAGAAGTCTATTATTACAGGTTATTGTACCTTTTTGTGCAAAAATTTTGTTACTTGGAAGAACAAGAAGCCGAGTGTGGTTGCTAGGAATAGTGCTAAAGCTGAATACAGGGCAATTGCCCATACTACCTATGAACTAGTTTGGTTGAAGCATTTTTTTCAAGATATGAATATCACAATTTATCAACCCATTAAATTGTTTTGTGACAGCCAAGTTGCAACACATATTGCCTCCAATCCTGTCTTTCATGGAAGAGCTAAATACATTGAAGTTGATTGTCATTTGTGAGAGGGAAAGTGACAAGTGGAGAGGCTTTTACTCCCTATGTTAAATTTGATGACCAAATAGTTGATATTTTTACTAAAAGTGTGGATCGCTTAAGGATGCATTATATTTGTAACAAGTTGGAACTTTATCCAGGTTGAGTAGAGAATATTAGAATTAGTTAACAAAGGCATCATTGCCTTTTTTTATGTTATTTTTCTTTCTTATGTCTGTTGTAACTTATTGTAGTCGTTTTAGTTTTAGTAGAATGCTAATACAACCTGGGTCGACAATAAGGAGAGAAGATTAGATTTCTCCTTGCTACTCTTCATTTGGGCTGTTTGAAATTTTCACCAAATATAAATTAAAAGGCTGTCCATATAAGGCATTATGGCCCACCTCAGAAAACCAGAAGCTTACACTTCAGCCAAGCCAAAGGGGCACAAATTAATTCCCACCTGAATAGCATATAAACAATGTTTGGTGAAAAATCCAAAAAACTCAAATTTACCATCCAACAAAAAAGGGACTTTGTTAAAATGGGTTCTCTAAAAAAGTTCAGTGAAGACAACTGAACATAAGATTTAATCCCCCCAAATAAACCCTTAATGTGTGACAAAATACCTTGACAAATGTAGGCAAACACGAGCAGGATTAGTTGAACGTGATGTAGCTTCAAAAATTTAATTGATTCAACTTTCCACTAATATGCCAAAATTTAATTTAGTTAAATCCATATAGCTTCAAAAATTGCTCGTAGAACAGCCAAAATGGCTGCCCATAAGATAGCTAGATTTGGTCTTACAATCTCTGATGTTCATACTTGGTCAGATTGACCTTTGCATGCCCTAAGTTGTATGAAAAAAAAATATTCACTGAGCAGTTAATAATTTTGCCTTATCAGTGGGGTGATCGGTGATCATCAAAAACCGAAAAATTGAATTTTTTATTTTTTGTTGGTTAACTGAAAAACTGATGAATAAACCAATCGACCGATTGCCTTCAGTTTACTTAACCAAACCATAACCATCCCTACTTATCAGGCTTCAGAAAATAAAAAATCTAAAAATTGATTAACACCATCCATCAAAATGTTTCAAAATTTAAATGTGTTATGCAATGTTTGAAAAACCGAAACCTAAATTTTCAGGCCAACACTTCAACCATCCAGTTCAAATGAATCAGCCAGTGACAGCTAAAAAAATTAAAAAAAAAATAATTGAAATAGAAATCCATCCAAAAAATAGTTATTCAAGTCAAACAAGACAATGGTTTGACCACTTGGGTCAACAAGTTACTGGGTTTTGGACAAAGAACAGTTTAGGGTAAAAGTAGAACTGGTCTCCTACCCAGTTTCTGGTTCAGAAACCTGTTCACGTTCATACACCTAAGCTATTTGGGAGCTTCTACGCATGACACACTCCCACTCAAATCCGGATAGTTCATCCCCAAACCCATAACCCCATGAAGGCCGAAGGCGGGATTCCATCCCAAATCCTCACTACAGATTAATGGCATTAAAATCTCTAAAATAGGCATTAATTGGATCCGTTCACGGGCCAGGCCCATCAACCCAAGCCACCCATGAACAGGTCTACCTTTAAATCAAGGGTATTATGTAAGAAAAAATTCCCGATCAATACCCTGTACTTTGGTTCGAGTAACACTTTAATCCCCAGACTTTAAAAGCAACAATTCAGTACCCAAACTTTCAAAATGTGAATCCAATACTTACCGTTAACCAATCTGTTAATCAGTTGTTAAGTGACATTTGAAAAGTTAAAAATGCCCTTCGAATGCCATCTAATTCTCTTTATCAACCGTCCAAATATTGACAATAAAATGAACAATCCCAAATTCTAGATTCTTCTAAACAGCCACAACTTTTTTTGAATAAAATAAACCAGGATTTGGGATTATTCAGTTTTTTTATCAACATTTGGATGGTTATTAAAGAGAATTAAATGATATTTAAAGGGCACTTTTGACTTTTCAAATGTCACTTAACGGCTGTTTAACGAACTGGTTAACAACAAATAATGGATTATCACATTTTGAAAGTTTAGATACTGCATTGTCACATTTTAAAGTTCGGGAACCACATTGTCACTCAAGCCAAAGGAATTTTCCCTTTATGTAATATACATCTGTTGGATAGAATAATAACTCAGAATCGACTCTTGAGACCGTGACTTCACACCTACATTTCTAGGCAAAAAAAGAATTGAACTCAAAGCTAGAAAAAGATGTTTTGCTGTTTTTTTTAATCCTTTCTTTTGTTTGGAAGTCGGTATCATCCAACCTAAATAATTATAAGCCCAGCTCTTCTTGTATTGCAAGTAACTTTTCAGTCAAACAGTTAAAGCACAAGTCAATCATATTCATCTGCATCCTACTGAAGATTTATTCAATCAAGACTCCCTAGTTAAGGCTGGATAGATGACAGCATTATATAAGATGCACTGTTTTTATGGTAAATCCTTGTGAGTTAAGATGACATAAATTCATGTTTTCCTCACAATTGAGCACAGTAAAAGAAAAAGAAATCACAGAGAAATCAGCTAACTTCAGCTCAAGAAAATATAAATACATGAACAATCATCACCATCTTCAACATCTGAAGCCAACTAGAAATCCAACTTATGGATGTATAATTCGGCAGTTGATTTACACGCAGTCTTCACAAATATAACATTGCTTCTGAGGTTTGTGAGTATGAATTCAAAATGAGTGCATCTTAAGAGCACTGTTGATCTTCAAATCAAATGAATTTGAAGAGTAACAAATCAGAACTGCAATTAAGCAATAGGGCTGGAACATACAGAAACCCTTCCAGAACCCAATTGCTCATAAATTAAGCCTATCAATTCCAAATCAACTTTGTTTATGATTAAAGCTGATTGGAACAATCAATGGTTAATTGTGCTTGACCCTATTAACTGTAGGGGCAGCTCCTCTGGTTCTTTTAACGTAGGAGGTATAGTCATTGTAGTGCATTGTGTAGATTGTGCTCTGATAGCGAGTAAGGCGGATTCGCTTACGGAGTGACTCATTGATGATGCCATTATAACCTGCTTTGCGCATCAATGAGTCAATTGTCTCCACTTTTGTCCAACCTACAACCAGAAGCACCCAGTCAATAAATAAACAAAAACTTGGAACTGAAAATTTTGATCAAACTATACACAGCCAAGATTTCCAAAATATTTATACCACAAGTTTCAAATATATGGAAGGAAAACTAGAAAACAAACTGTATTAAGATTTTTTTGTTAGAAAATATTATTTAATATACACCGAATGGGTGAGTTAAAACAAAAATAACTTCTGATCAATTCTTTCAAGGATACTTGTATCATTCAATTAGTCCCCAAGTTAAAAAGGGCTTCCATTATTTAGGCTGAGTTTGGAAAGAGTACAAATGCGAATATGTACTGTGCAAATACATATAAAATTATGCAAAATATAAGGTTTTGCACTCTACATATTTGCATTTATACTCCTTCCAAACCAAGGTTCAAAGTATCGTTACGTATCGGCCTGTATCGGCCGATACGTATCGTTCCGGGACCCTTCCGATATGCCCCTATAGTGGGTGTATCGGGGGTCTGACCGGTTCAGAGGATGGAGGGGTCCTAGACCGACTCCCCTGAACCAGTTTTGAAAAAAAAATAAAAAAAAGTAAAAAAACAAGTATCGAGATGCCCGATATGCCCCTACCGGCATGTCGGGCGAATCGATATTTTGAACCGTGTTCCAAACTGAGCCTTAGGGACTAAGGAAAATTTTCATTTCCTACCATGAAGCATACTATGATTACGTTTCTTGCCTTTAACTTCTACTGTTTGTATCATTATTTGTGAAACTTAAGTTTAATTTCAAACCCTGCTTGAGATTTAATTAGACATAGATGTTGAACTTTTAGCTTTGGTAAATATGGGCAGATTTCATCTTTGACCAAAAAATGTACCACTAATTACATTCCCGCCGTTAAAGCTTTAACTTATTCTTGTTTACATATTGAACTAATGGCAAAAGCTTGAGCCTGGGATACAGGACTGACAACCAGTCTGGGTGTTCATAACTTGCCATCTGTCCTAGATTTATTAGAATGATAATGACCATTCAATAAGTCCGACCTTGAATGCTAACTGGACTGAAGATCCAGCTAAATTTTTAATGTATGTTTTTCCAGAAAATGTTTGAATGGTAGAAAAATTACACTTGAACTCTTCAAATGCTCTGAAAATGATGAATGATTCAGATTATCAAAGCAATCTGATCATGCAGATTTTTGGTGTAGGCCCTCTCATAGGGCAGTGTTTTAAAAGCACAAGGGCCAATTTGCGCCTGAGGCACAAGGCACAAGGCACAAGGCGAGGCGTGCACCTTTTTAAGCAAGGCCCCAAATTACAAAAAAAGTTAGAAAATTCAAAAAAATGCCAAAAAATTTTAAAAAATGCAAAAAATTCAAAAAATATTAAACATAATATTAATAAAAAATATAAACTTAAATTTTAAAAAACTATTATCTAAAATTAAAATACATAAAATAACATGTAAAGCGTATTCAAATGAAAATTTAAAAATAAAAACAAACATATAAAGCATTTTCAAGCATGTAAAACCCACAATCTCATTTTTTTCTTAATTGCATTGCTTCAAGTAGCTAATGTAATGTAAAAGATATTGCATTCTTGATCGCATTTGCACCACGCCCCTCGAGGCAAGCCCGAACAAGTCTATGTTAGGGTCTGAAATTCTTATTTCTCACATAAAAAATAATGATTTTATAACTTTTATTGCCTTTTAAGAAGATATTTTATTGCAATGAATGAATGAACAACATTAGCAAATAGGGGTTCTCGGAGGGGGTCCGGGGGCAGAGCCCCCCAGCCCAGCCGTTAGACTTTAAAAAAAAAAAAGCGCAAAATTTTAAAAAGGTGCATGCCTGGGCTGGGGCACAAGGTGCATCAGGCGCACGTGCCTAGGTCCTGGGTGAGGCGCATACCCCAAAATGCACCTCGCTTGTACGCCTAGGCGCACCTTTAAATCACTGCTCATAGGTGGAATCCATCCCGATGATTGGCCCTAGTCCACTTAACATCCACCAACTGTTAATTTATGAGAGCTCCAGACAGAAACCAACAGGCCCATATCCCTAGATTGAAGCCAATTCTAAACTACATCATAATTTAGTTTTAAAACATCACTTAAAAAATGACAAATGAATATTTATTGGAAAGGGACAAAGTTTTCCAAATAAAATATTCTAAGCTTTTCTTGCCATCCTATTACTTGTCCCACTCCAAGTCAAGCAATCAATCCAATTCAATTCAAGAAAGCCTTATTCAGGCAAAGTCAGGCAATCATACATGAGGGTTAATCTAGACAGAGAAACAAACAAGCAGCCAAAAGTAAATTTACCTTCATGAGCAGCCACCTCAGGCAAGTATGTTGCACTTCGCCTCACATTGTAGTCAGGATCAGTAAACTCAATAGTTAAACCATGTGTACCTATCTGCATTAAGCAAACATCCAATGACAGGAAGGGGAATATCAAAAACCTAGGCTACCGTAGAATTGATTGAAAAGTAACCAAGGAATATGAAATCAGTTCCAAAACGGATCCACATAGTTTTTGGAAGTTCTTTTTTTTTTCCTTATATTGGTTTCATCATTCATGTCAAGAGAGAGGGTTGTTATTTACGAGTGCAAATATTTTCAGGTGGGATGGGGGAGTGTGAATGGCATGGCATGTACAAAGGATAGAGGGTTCAGAGCTGCTCAGATAGATGGTTTCAAAGGCACCTAAAATATGCAAGCAGGCACTATCTGCATGTTGGAGAAAACCCTTCCAGGCCTTTCAGGACATACAAATAAATACAAGAAATCAGATGGCTAAGATTATTGCTATTGGATGTACTTAGCCTAGGAGATCTGGCTGGTAACACCCAACATATTATAGTTCAAGTGTAAATTATAAAGCACAGTTATGATGTGACCCAATCCAAGACTTTCATAATTGTATTGAAGATGAAAAAAAGACACTTACCTCCCAATCAAGATAGTTGAGAGCAGTTTCATAGTTTGTCAGAATGGAAACTGTACATTCCAAGTAAGGTAATTCTTGAGGTTGTATGAGGGGAAACCGGCAATCCCTTAGAGCACTGCAAGACATTAAAAATAACCACCCATTTAATTATTATATATATAAATTATATTAGACATTTAAATATTTTATATATTATATATAAGAATTAAATAATTAGTCGAATTTGGATATTTATCGAATCAAATCGGGTCGTATCTGAATTCGAATCCAATTAGTTATTCAGTATGAATAGGATATCCAAATTCAACCGATTAGATATTCAAATTATCTGAATCCGATTCGATTATGTCGAATCTCGAATTCAAAATTGGATTTTTGAATACCGTTGACACCCCTAATCTTACAAGTCCATTTTGATTGTTAGTTCCATACATGCAGCTTACTCATTATATTTACATAAATTAGAAAGTAAAACTTGACCAAAACAAGTGATACCTAAAGAAATACTAGAAATTGTAAGAATTTTTTTATTGGTGAAATTGTTAGAGAATATTTACAAGCATAATTTATGTTACTGTCAGCAGAAACAATTGAACGAAAACATTTCACTGATAATATTAAGAAATGGATGGATCATTTTATCACGCTTAGCATAGGCTTTACCAACATCAAATAAAAATGTTAGGAAATATATGGGGAAAAAGAAGGCCCATGGTAGAACACCATTGTGAGTAGGCACCAGGAATATGAATTGGGATCATGTAGAGGCCTGAACATGACAATGCTGTCTAGAAGGGAACTAAGAAAATCTACCTTGGTTTATCAAAATGATGGGTACAGTGTAGGAAATGGCAGCAGAGTTAAATGTGGAGAGATTTATGGCGTGGCTATCACCCTCTTATGGAACTCTCTTCCCTTCCCCCACTGTGGCCACTGAAAAAGGAACCCATGGTACCACAGTGCTTCAAAATAACTAACATAGAGATAGAGTGCAACCTGAGATTCAGGCAGTGATTTAAAAGGCGCACTTGAGGCGCACCTCTTTCAAAAGGCGTGCGCCTGGTGCGCCTAGGCATGTGCCTGATGCACCTTGCGCCTCAGCCCAGGCATGCGCCTTTTTAAAAGGCAATGAAAGTTGTTCATTCATTCATTGCAATAAAACATCTTCTTAAAAGGCAATGAAAGTTGTAAAATCATTATTTTTTTATGTGAGAAATAAGAATTTCAGACCCGTTTGGGCTTACCTCGAGGGGCGTGCTACAAAGGCGACTCATAGAATCAAGAATGCAATATGTTTACATCACATTAACTACTTGAAGCAATGCAATTAAGGAAAAAAAGAGATTGTGGGTTTTATATGCTTGAAAATGCTTTGCTTTTATTTTTAAAATTTCATTTGAATACACTTTACATGTTATGTTTATGTATTTTAATTTTAGATAATAGGTTTTTTGAATCATTTATTTTAAAACTTAAGTTTATATTTTTATTAACATTATGTTTAATATTTTTTAAATTTTTTGCATTTTTTTAATTTTTGGGCATTTTTTTTGGAAATTTCTGACTTTTTTTTTATTTTTTAGCTTTTTTTTTGTAATTTTGCGCCTTTCTTAAAAAGGCGTGTGCCTCGCCTTGCGCCTCTGGCACAAATTGGCCCTTGCGCTTTTTTTGTGCCTTGCGCTTTTAAAACACTGGATTCAGGTGAGATCTAAATAACTAGGAGGTCAAGCCCATTTAACTACAAGGCACATGTTACAAAATAACAAAACCAGGTCCAAATCAAGAGGATTATGATCTTAGGCATGGGGCTCATCTCTCTTCTTATCCAAACACTTGTTTGGATTGATATGCCAAACTTTGGATGCTAAAGAACCATATGCAATGCCTTTATTCTCCTCCAAGATTGCATTTATGGTGTGCTGAGCTGCTTTGAGAAAGGATCTTACCATTGACATTTTCAATGGAAGAGGCATGGGGTTATGTAATATAACATGCAATTTTTGAGTTGATGTTATGGAAACAGTGGACCATTTGTTTCTTCCAATGTTTTAAAACACAGAGGCATGACATGAGGTGCTTCACTACCTGGAGGCATGACATATATTTCAGAACATAAGAGAAATAAGCCTCCCAAGCATAAGGAGGTGTAAGATTCCTAAAGAGAAGGAAGAAGAAGGGGACCTCATTTTGTTTTATTTTTAATTTCATTTTTACGAAAAACGTTTTATGTTAAGAAGAACGAAGATGCATAACACTAGCTGAAAGAGGGGTCTTGTCAAGTGCACAATTACTAAATGAATCCTGGAGTAGGATGCCTGCATACCAGACCAGTAGTATAATGTTATGTTTCCTGCAAAGTAAACGTGATGGCCTAGTAGTATCCTATTATATTTCATATGAAGTGAATGTGATGGTCCTTCTTACTGGTTCAAGGATAATAGAATAGTTGCATCATCCTTCATATTAGTGCTCCATTTATGTAAAATAAGCTAGGAGACAAAAGTTCCATGGAAGTGACCTCAAAAATCCATGGAGATTGGCACATTATCTTAATAAGATCAGATGCAACCTGAACTCTTTCTAATCTTTCTTAAGGTGAACCCCAAGAGATCACAAACAGTGGCTGATGATCTGGCTAGGGGGTATTGAAGAGTTTCTTGTATAGCAAGAACTCTGTGTCTTCTTATTTTTCTGTTGGAGGATTATTGCAGATTGTATACAGTTTATATTCTCTCACCTTCATCTTCTTGCCTTGGTTTCAATAATGCATTTCAGTTACTTTCTTCAAAAAAGAAAAATGTAGCTCAATATAGAACTTGAAAAGTAGTTGTTATACATAAAACATGATGGTGAAATAAATGTACGAAGTACAACCATTCTTTTTATAAGAAAAGTACAATCATTTCTCATAACCTCAGACTTCAACCTGCATTCTCATGCTTGTCAGCCCAAGATTACCAAGTAGTGGCTAATAAAAAAATCAATGGAGTAGATGATATGTAAGAAGGGACAAAAGCAAAATGTTGCTTTACACTATGCTATCCACTACAGACAAAAAAAATTCCAATTAAACACAAAGTTTCTCATTTGAAGAGAACTGAAAGATCCTACGGTGCCTTTTCTTCCAAATATTCCAACAAATTAACTCAAGTAGAAGCACTCTAAAATCCCATCAAGATTACATGCCACAGCTGAATAACATGACAAATCAAAGGAAAAAGAGCACAACTAGAATTGGAAAGGGGAAGAAAAAGTGGAGGCAAAAAAAATTGCTGCCTCCTGTAAAAGTACTATGCTTTATAATATGAATTTACCGTCACTAATGCTTGATGAAACTAAGTATTGATGTAATCTCAGTTATGTGCCGCAGGGACATTTTTGTCTTTTTAACCTTTTATTTTTTATGTAGTCACCCTAACTTATAAATACAAATCCTGGGCACCACAAGTTTATGTTTTTTGATCTAAATATTTCGCCTCTTTCTTCTCTCCTCTCTTCTTCTTCTTCTCTTCTCCTCCTCTCATCTCTTGATTGAGATCTTTCTTCTTGCCGAAATCATGGTATCAGAGCTGGTTGGTGCTCTGTAATTATTTTTTTGGTCGATGACATCCTCTGTGTTCACTTGACTGAGAAAGAAGAAACGAAGTCAGCTCATCAGCTGAATCCCCCTCTCCAGTTCTGGGCAGAAACTCAACGGAAGTGATTGCAGAAGATTGTTCTGGACCTGAGAACTCATCGGCTGGATCTCCCTCTCCTGTTCTGGGCGGAAATCAACTGAAGTGATTGCAGAAAATTCTTGATGACTGGTTGAGTCCTTCCAAGAGGTTGGCGGCTCCTTTTTTCTGTTCTCTTTTATTATTCTTGGACTGGAAAATCCAGAAACCACCTAAACTGAACTTGGACAGGTTTTCTTTAAACCTTTTTTCTTTGGTTCTTGGTGCTGGTACCAAGAACAGGTTGAGGGTTGCCTTGACCGAATGGTATAAGGGAGGTTTAACCCTTTCTTTGTGGGTCGGATGATCTAGAAACCTGTGAACTTGTGGAATTAGTTGTAGGTCATGAGTGACTTGGTTTAGTTGACTGTTACAGCAACCGTGTACTGATGCTTGTGGCTTATATTAGCCTTGGAGAAGTCTGCTACACCTGTGAAATTGTTCAGATGGCTAATACAGCAGCAGAGTACTGATGCTTGTGGCTTATATTAGCCTTGGAGAGGCCTGTTAGATCAGTGAGAGTGTGTTGCAGCAAGGCTGTGATTGTGTTCCAACTGTCAGAAAACTTAAAGTAAGGGCTGTGTAGTCCATTTGTGTGTATTGACTGAAGTGAAGGGACTGTTGTGGTCTTAGTGAGCGTCAGTCATGAATTCTAAAGATTCAGCAACCTCTGGAGCCTCTTTTAACCAAGGAGGAATGAACAACAGTATTGACTCCGTGAGCTTTCCAACGACCATTACTCCCTTAGATGGCAGAAATTATTTGACATGGTCAAGGAGATGCGGCTGTACATCACAGCCCGGGGTAAAGCAGGGTATATCAATGGAAAAGTGAAGGAACTAGGACTGGTACGGCTGAATATGATAAATGGGACCAGGAAAACTGCATGATTATGTCATGGCTCTTGACTACTATACTACCATCAGTGAAGCAGAACTTTATGTGGGCTGAAACAGCCAAGGAAATATGAGAACAAGCAAGGTCAACTTACTCCGAACAGAGGCACTATGCTAGAATCTATCAATTGCAAGCCGAGTCTGCAACGTGTAAACAAGGGGAAAGAAGCTTATCCACCTATTCTGCCCTCACATCTATTTGGAAAGAGTTAGATTACTATCAGAACATTAACTGGGAGAGTGAAAAGGATGCCAAAGCCTACAAACAGTTAGTGTCACAGCAGCTGGTGTTTGCTTTTCTATTGGGACTTAATCCCATATATAACCCATTCGAGTTCAAATTTTGGGCAGCAAGGGTCTTCCCTCTGTCCAAGAGGTGTATGCGCTGGTTCAATCCGAGGAAAGTAGGAAATCTTCCATGAATCCTCCCAAGGGGGAGACCATTGCCTTAGCCACAAGAGGTAATATCAATTCAGCAAGAAAGGGAAATGGTCAGAAAAGGGTTGATGATAAGAATAAACTGTGGTGCTCTCATTGTCAGAAATCCCGACACACACGGGAGACATGTTGGGAATTGCATGACAAGCCAAAGTGGGCACAAGACCTAAATAAGAAATCAGCACAAGAACAGAACAAGAAATCAAATTAGAAAAGGTTCACCTCGACTAACTTGGCCTCTCATGAGTTGTAGAGTGGAGGAACTACTATGAACTCTCAAGATTGCCCCCCTAGGTCCGATCTTAAGGAAAATATTATCACTGTCTTTCGTGACCATTTGGAGCAATATGGTAGGGCCCTACACAAACTGATTTTGGACCCACTCCTTCAACATCTTTTGCCTCTTCCTCAGGTAACTTAGCTTCTGCATTCTATGTGTCTATCGATACCTTTGAATCCCCATGGATTATTGATTTTGGTGCTTCCAATCACATGACGGGAAAGTCAACCATTTTCCAATCATACACCCTTCTTTCTGGCAAAGATAAAGTGAGGTTAGCTGATGGATCATTCTCCTCCATTGCTGGTCGAGGATTTATATCTTTCCCATTTGGCTTACCCCTATCAGATATTTTACATGTTACAAAACTACCTATTAATTTACTATCTATTAGCAACATTACACACTCTTTAAACTGCTCAATAACCTTTTTTCCTCAATCTTGTGTCTTTCAGGATTTGGCCTCCGGGAGGACGAATGGTAAAGGGAACATGGTGAATGGCCTCTATGTGCTGGAGAATAGAGTTGGTCTTACGGCCTCAAAGTCTTTGAGTCAGTCAAATAAAAGTCAGGTTATTTTGTGGCACAATCGTTTGGGTCATCTGTCTTTTGAGTCCTTAAAGTATTTGTTTCCAAAATTGTTTAAGAATGTGTCTATTAATGATTTTCAGTGTCAAGTGTGTCAGCTAAGCAAACATTGTAGAACTTCATTTTCTTTACGTAATAAAAAATCAAATGTTTCCTTTTCCATTGTGTATTTTGATGTTTGGGGACCTATAAATATTCCAACAGAACATGGCTACAGATACTTCATATCTTTCATTGATGACTTCTCTCGATATACGTGAGTGTACGAAGTTCCTAAACTTGTGAAAGCCTTCCAACGTATGGTATACACACAATTTCAGACGGAGGTTCGAACTTTCTAATCAGACAATGCCAAAGAGTACTTTCATGGTGACCTCACAAAATTTTTTGAAACTTGTGGCTCTATTCATCGTAGTTCTTGTGCTCGAACCCCTCAACAGAATGGGGTTGCAGAGAGAAAGAATCGTCATCTTAGAGGTTGCTCGAGGGTTGTTGATACACATGAATGTTCCAAAAAGGTTCTAGGTGGATGATGTTATGACTGTAGCTTATCTTATCAATCGGATGCCATCTCGTCTCTTGGAATACAAGTCCCCTCATCAGCTTATCTTCCCTACAGCTCCATTGTTTCCTATCCCTTTGCATGTCTTTGGGTGTAAGTGTTTTGTCCATGATCTATCACCTACCTGTGGTAAGTTAGATCCCAAAGCCATTGTTTATGTATTCCTTGGCTATTCCCTTTCCTAAAAAGGTTATCGTTACTTTGACCCTATTTCCAAAAAGTACTTTGTATCTATGGATGTTTCTTTCTTTGAAGATGTGCCTTTTTTTCTTGCTTCTCCTCAGAGGGAGAGTCCAAGCAAGGAGAAACAGAGACATGTTTTGTTGCCTTCTCCTCCTAACCCCCCTCCATTTCGGGTCTTTCGTAGACAGCGGTACAAAAGTCAAGGCCGTGATCAACGAAGTTCAATAGACACAAAGTATCCTGAAGCTGTGCAACCTGTGCCATCGAACTCTCAGGGGTTAAATCAATCATCGCATCCAGGTACCATTGTTCCAGTTGACATCCCTGAGCCCATTGATATTGATACTTCTAATTGTGATCTAGATCTTCCTATTGCTAAGAGGAAAGGTGTCAGATCATGGACCACACACCACCCGATGGCCCTTTCCTTATCCTATGGTCATGTTTCACCCTCTTTCCGTGCTTTCCTCTCTGCTATTGATAGTGTTTCCCTTCCTAAGAGTGTTGCAAAAGATTTACTTACTCCTGAATGGATAGATGCAATGAAGGAGGAGATCAATGCCCTTCACAAAAATGGCACGTGGGATCTGGTAGATCTTCCTGAAGGAAAGGAACATGTGGGGTGCAAATGGGTATTCTCTGTGAAACATAAGGCAGATGGCACAGTGGAGAGATACAAGGCTCGGCTAGTTGCAAAAGGTTTTTCACAGGTGTATGGAGTTGATTATGCAAAAACCTTTGCACCTGTAGCAAAAATGAATTCTATTAGAGTCCTCCTTTCTTTAGCAGCAAATCTAGATTGGGAACTTCATCAGTTGGACATTAAAAATGCTTTTTTGAATGGTAACTTAGAAGAAGAAGTGTATATGATCCAACCTCCAGGTTTTCGTGCTAAAGGAGATGAGTAGAAAGTATGTAGACTGAAGAAATCTTTGTATGGTTTAAAACAGTCTCCAAGGACCTGGTTCATTAGGTTCCACAATACAGTTCAACAGATAGGTTTTAAGCAGTGCCAGTCTGGTCACACACTCTTTGTGAAGAGAGAGCAAGGAAGAATGGAAGCTTTAATTGTGTATGTTGATGACATTATTGTCACTGGTGATTGGAACTCAGAGATACAAAGATTGAAAAGATTCTTGGCCACCCAATTTGAAGTGAAGGATTTGGGGCCTTTACGTTATTTCCTTGGAATTGAAGTGGCCCGCTCTAATCAGGGTATCTTCATCTCCCAAAGGAAATATGTTCTTGATCTCCTGAAAGATATAGGGAAGCTTGGAGCAAAACCTGCTGACACTCCTATAGATGTAAACCACAGGCTCGGGGATTGCAGTGATGAGCCCATAGCAGATATGAAGCAGTATCAAAGGTTGGTGGGCAAACTTCTCTACCTATCTATGACAAGACTTGACATTGCGTATACAGTGGGAGTCCTTAGTCAGTTTATGCATGCTCCCAAGGCCACACACTTGGAGGCAACACACAGAGTTCTTAGATATTTGAAGAAATTTCATGGGATAGGATTCCTATTTGGAAAACATGGGCATATGAGAGTTGAGGTTTACACTAAGGCAGATTGGGCTGGTTCTGTGGATGACAGAAAATCTACTAGTGGCTATTGTGCTTTTGTTGGGGGAAACTTGGTTACTTGGAGGAGTAAGAAACAAAGTGTGGTGGTGACCAGATCAAGTGCAGAAGCTGAATATAGAGCCATGTCTCATGGTGTGGCAGAACTTCTATGGATAAAGAATTTCTTGGGTGAATTGGGCTTTCCTCTTAGTGATCCTATGCTATTATACTGTGACAATAAGGTTGCTATTAACATTTCAACCAACCCTGTTCTCCATGATAGAACTAAACATATAGAGGTTGACAAAGTCTTCATCAGGGAAAAATTGGAAAAATGAGAAGTTTGCACTCCCTACATCAGCTCTGAGGAACAACTGGCAGACATCCTTACTAAAGGATTAAATTCCATGCGGCACTATAATCTTTGTGACAAGTTGGGGATGATTGATATCTACACCCCAACTTGAGGGGGAGTGATGTAATCTCAATTATGTGTCACAGGGGCATTTTTGTCTTTTTAATCTTTTATTTTTTATGTAGTCGCCCTAACTTATAAATACAAATCATGGGCACCGCCAATTTATGTTTTTTGGTCTAAATATTTCACCTCTTTCTTCTCTCCTCTCTTCTTCTTCTTCTTCTTCTTCTTCTTCTTCTTTCTTCTTCCTTCTTCTTCTCTTCTCCTCCACTCATCTCTTGATCGAGATCTTTCTTCTTGCCGAAATCAAGTATTGTACTTCAATGTAATGTAATTGTTTTACAATACCTGGTTAAAGCATAGTCCCTGAACCCATTAATCAAACAACGAGCTTCCAGAGTTCCAATGCATCCCCGTAGACGAGGCTCCCCACCATTCACCAATTTCTTCCAGGTGACAAACAGTGGGCTGAAAAAGAGAAGTTCCAGTTCTCAGATGTGAAAAACAGACAGACTAAGTTATAGCATCCAATGCAAACATTATCCAAGTATGCACATAAACAATGTAGTATAAGGAGATTTTATTTTCTATAATATTAAAATGCCTTTTCCCATGAGATCACATAAAACAGCTCATAAAAGACAACGAAGCATTAAGTACACAACATGCATTGGCTCCAAAATGAAAGCTGCTTAAAGAAGAAATAACAACATAGATGAATCGATCATAAATATCATGAAATTCAAAACCTATCCAATTTTCAAATGGATCAACTGGCTCAAAAAAATGGCTGATTTTGCTTCCAGTTGCCTTAATGCAGAGTTTTTTTTTCTTCTCTTTTTTCTCTTTTTTATTTGTTTTGACACAAAACCAATCTCAGTATAACTATACAGTATAATAATGGACCATCAAAGATGTAACTTGTGAAGGAGCATGCGTTGAAATAATGGGCGAAAAAACTAAAAACGGATAAGAAGCCACTATGAAGATAAAATACATGGAAAAGAAAATCAAACCCAAGGAGAATGAGATAAAAAAAAAAATCATTGGAAAATCTGTAAAGGGAATGAGTTTTATAGCAAACAGAAAAACCAATCTTTTTACAACAGAATTTCTTCATTCCTCGTGTATGTGGGGTGGAGGATTCAAACTCCAAAGTCAAGAGTAATCAAGAGTACCCAATAAATATTAAATATATAGATTAATAAAAAAGCATAAAATCCTTCAAATTACGAAACCGAACAACGAAGATATCTTCACCAGTAATAATTAATCTAAAATTAGATGGAACAAAAAGATCGGAACGTCAAAAACTTTACTGTTGCTCGGCATCAAAAGCTGGTGGAGGCGCCTCTTCACTATTGTAATGAGCTACAAGCGTGTCAAAACAGTAAACCACCATCTCCTGATTCGCAGAAACCATTTTCGGTACAGAAGAAAATCCAAAAAAAAAAAAAGAAGGTAAAGAGTCCGTTTAGAAATCTGGAAGAGGATTTCTGGATAGTCGCGAGAGAGTCAATAATTCTGACTTCAATCTTTTAAGAACTTTATCGAATGAGAAAATGAAGAAAAATCCTTTTCTTTTTCTGAAGCTCTGTCGTGCCTGAACGAAAGAGAAATTTGGAAGAGAGAATGAAGCTAAATAAGCTTTTCCTCTCTCTCTCTCTCTCTTTCTCCCACTATACAGCTTCTTTCAAATTAAATATTTTGTTGAGTTCCTAAATCGCCCCCACTCTCGTAGGGAAACAATAAACATCGTAGTTCGCAGCGTCCCGGTTCAGTCAAAGATTCTCGTGGTGGATGAAATGACTAAATTAGCCCCAAAAAGATGCAAATGGTCCTATTCATCCTAGGACACCGACAAAATCCGGTGCTAGAGCACCGACGCAACAACCGGTGTTTAGAATTCGGTCCCCAATTTCAAGTTCGTGTTTGGATCAAGGCGGGACTGGAATTGCCAATTCCGTTGATTTTAAATGATTAATTTATTAATTATTAAATCCTGTAAACTTCGACCATTTCGGAATTTCGGTGTTCTTTTAGCCGATAAGGGCAATTTTTTGCCCTAATATCAAAAGGCAATTTTTCTTTTTACCCCTAATATCAATAAAAATAATAATTTTCGTATAATGTCTTTAAAAGGATAACTTTTTTTTTGAAAAATCTATATACTACTATAAAAAGTAGAATAGGGTCTAAGATTTTTAGAATTTTTTGGACTAAAATACCCCTTTTTTAAATAAGGTCTCTATCTATTATGAGGGTAGAAAATGTAATTTAAATACTATTATTCATTGCATTCAATTCACTCTCATTAAATTCCATTTAAGGTATTAACTCTCATTCACCCTCATTTAACCATACATTTAAGGCATTTTTGTTTCTTTTAATTAATAAATTCCACTAATTAAATCCATACATAAATAATTCTAATAACATAAAAACTTGTACTTTTGAAATTGGCTTGAAAAAGCAATATTTTTATGTGGTGGCAAGAAATTAAACAATTTTGGGTCAAATAGGCCAAACCAAGTTGCATTGTTGCCACAATTAAATAATAAAAAATTAAAACTTGATCAAATGCAAAAAAATATAAAAATTAAAGTACAAATAGGGTCTAAGATTTTTGAAATTTTTTAGACTAAAATACCCTTTTTTGAAATAGGGGCCCTATCTATTATGAGGGCAGAAATCTCTCTCATTAAATTCCATTTAAGGTATTAATTCTCATTCACCCTCATTTAACCATACATTTTAAGGCATTTTTGTTTCTTTTAATTACTAAATTCCACAAACTAAATTCATACATAAATAATTCTAATAACATAAAAACTTGTAATTTTGAAATTGACTTTGAAAAACAGTATTTTTATGTGGTAGTAAGAAATTAAACAAATTTGGGTCAAATAGACCAACCCATGTTGCATTGTTGTCACAATTAAATAAAAAATTAAAACTTCATGAAATGCAAAAAATATAAAAATTAAAGAAAATTCTGGGAACATATTTAATATCATATATTCATCATATTAGACAAGAATAAGTATGATAAATAAGAAATACTTTAATTAATGATGGAAATGGAATATAAAATTTAAAACCAATTGGCAATAAAATAAATATTTTGAAAAATAATTTGAAAATAAAACCATTTTCTTCCATCCTAGTGGTGGGTATGCAATTCAACCATTTGGGTCAAATGGGTTAACCAATAATGCCATAATCAAATAATAAAAAATCAAAATAAATAATATATAAAAATACAAAAAATGGAATTGAGCATACCTCTAATATTATATATTCATTATACTAAATAAAATTAAGTATGAAATGTAAGAAATATTTTTATTAACGATGAATAATAAATATTTAAAAAAGATAGAACACAAAAAAATGAAAAGTATACAATTTTGTCAAAAACATTAGGGGACATTTCTAATGTTATATATTCATCATATAAATAAAAAAATTGTTAAAATAAAAATTATTTTTATTTATTGTGGAAATGGTAAAAAATAATAATAATAATAATAATAATAATAATAATAATAATAATAATAATAATAAAATTTCAACATGCAACACACGTCCATATTTACTAGTATAAAATAAAGGAACAACACATTGTTGCTCGTCTTCCTCCCATGCCAAAGAAATACGAATAATTCTTTGATTTTCTTATTCTATGCCAAAGAAGAGTTCTAATGTTCTAATTGCTAATGCTCTATTTGGGTTTTTTTTCTGATAAAAATCTAAAAATTTTGGTCAAATAATTAATCAATTCTCTAAAATTTCATATGGGTTCTATGTTTTTCATCCTCACATAGGGACATTGAAGCTTAACAGTAGCGATAGATTTTCAGGCAGCAGCAACGTTGGCACTAACCAGTATTCAACAAGTAGAACTCTCGGTGAAGTATTATCCAGACGGGCAAATCTTACCGACCCCACACCTGAAGGTTTTCACTTTCGCAGAACTAAATGCCGCAAGGAAGAATTTCAAACCTGAAGTTGTGCTTGGCCAGGGTGGCTTCTGGAGGGTTTTCAAGGGTTGGATTGATGAGAGGACATTTTTACCTTCAAAGAGTGGAAATGGAATGGTTGTTGCTATCAAGAAATTGGATATGAAGAGTGGTAGGTAAGTAATTTCGATAAACTTCTCTATTTCTATTTCATTTGGGGTTGTTCTTAGATTTTCTATTATCTATCATCTTTCTACGTGCAAGACATAGATTTTCTATTATCTATCATCTTTCTACGTGCAAGACATAGATGGTTTGTATCTTCAACAGTCCATTACCCTTATATGATTTTTTTTTTCAAAAAAGCTATCTTATTCTGGATTTTATATGAAAAGCATTATTTTTATTGGTATTAGGGGCAAAAAGATGCCCTTATCGGCTAGAAGTTAATATCATTTTTAGAAAAAATATTGATTTTTTACAGGAAATCTTGGAATTCTTAGAAGAAATAAATAAGGTGTTACAAAATTGTATATAAGATTTTGAAAAATTATTGACACGACACCCGAAATTAGTTCATAATTTGTTGGATATGTATCGAAATGTAAAACTTGGGGTTAGGGATGGCAATTTTCCCCATTTCCTCGATTCCCGTGGGGATGGGGATGATTTTCCTCCCGCAAGGACGAGGATGGGGAAATTTTCATCCCTATTAGCAGGGACTGGGAGAGCACTCCCCGCCCCACGGGAACCCCGATCCCCGCCCCGTGGGATCTCCACTAATATATGTATATATGTATATATGTATGCATATGTTATATATGTATATATGTACATATACATTTATATATTAATATTTTTAAAAATATGGTTGAATATGTTTGAATGTTTTCTAATAGCATTGTAAATTTTAATTATTTCATTTTTAAATAAAATAAAAAAAAAAACAAAATAAAATGGTTAACATTATAAAAATTACGGGGAACGGGCATCCCTGCCGGGATGGGGATCCCCGTGGGGATGGGGATGGGGATAACCTTGTCCCCGTTAGCGGGGATGAGGACAAGGATGGGGATGGAGATTTTCGCGAGGACAAGGATGGGGAGAGGCTCCTCGTCCCCGCCTTGCCCCGTTGCCATTCCTATTTGGGGCTAAATAGGGGTTTGGAATGGGTTATTCCAATTCCAACTGTTTGATTGGTGTGGAATTGGAATCCCATTTCCATTCCTGTTGAATATAATAATAATATATTCAAATTTTTCTATAAATTTTATGTTGCTTTATTTTTCATTTTTATATTTTTTATGTTTATTATTAATCAACATAAAAATCTCATCCAAATATGTGATAATTGGATCGAGTTGTGAAGTTTCAAGTATCATTTATTGAGAGGCCTACTTGCTTTGCTAGACTCTTCTTTTTTTAGTGCCTTTTCTTTTTGGTGTATCTTTTTTCTTTTGTTCATTTATAAAAAAATTGTAATATTCAAATAGAGGAAATTGAATAAGATGAAAAGTAGTAGTTCAATTTACAATTTAAACCTTACAATTAAATAGGGACTAAATTCAAATTTGAGTATTTTAGTCAAAAGAAAGTTTCACAATTTTATTCATATTTTTAATAGTAGTGTAAATATAGAATTATAGGTGTGTTCAATTTTTTCTACATTTTTTTAATTTTTTATGTAAAAATAATTCTAATACATCACACTTACTTTTTATTTAATATGATAATATATGACATTATACATGTGCCTGATTGTTTTTTTTTGTTTTTGCAAAGTTTATGTTTCTACTTTTTATAATTTTTTCTATTTATTTATATTTAAAAAAAATTATTACCTAATTATGAGTTCATAAGTTGATCAATTTGATTTAGATTGTTGAATTGTTTAGCCACAACTTGGATAAAAAAATGGTTTTGTTTTTGAGTCAATATTAAAATATATGACTTTATATTATTAAAAATATTGACATAGATCTAATTAGTAGCATTTATTAGTGAAAAATAACTTAAAAGTATATGATTTAATAAGAGAAAATGAGATTTAATACCAAGTTACATTTTCAACCCTTACAATTAGAAATGGATTAAATACAAAAGTGATGATGCGCATTTTGGTAGCTCTCAGTTGGCAGGTGACTCGAATGCCTGGCTGAATAATCCCTACCTGGAATGTGGCTTGGATGCCTATTTGAATGGTTCCTACCTAAAAGGTGGCTTGGATGCCTAGCTGAATGGTGACGAGCTAGAGAGGTGGTTCTGACTTCTAATGCCTAGTTAAATGGTGACGAGCTGGAGAGGTGGCTCTGATGCGACCTGCAAGGAAACAATGTCAGAGTGTCTGGGTTGCTTTACCCAGGATGGGCACTCCGATGCTTAAATTAGCGAATCAGAGATTTTAAAATAGCTAAATGTGAGAGAGTTGGAGAGCTGCAAGAACTAAATTGCACATCTACCTGGGTCTCAGGGATTGACGCCCTTATATAGTTGGGCTGTCGTGGGTCTCGCGAAACGCTCCCGGAATCCCCGACCCATGACATAGGGGTCCGTTCCGCTTTGGAAGGAGGATAACATGCCAGTTAATAAGGCTTACCATTTTCCTCCGATTCGGGCGGGATGAGAATAAGGCCTACGGTTATGCGGTATAATCCCGAAAGGTTCGGAGACAACTGGCAAGAGGCAGGTCGCCAGGTTGGCGGCAGAAGTA